GTAACATATTTAATCACTCTAAACCAATAAATTAAAGTCAATATACTTGTAATTGTTTTTAAAACTATGTCGCTGTTACAGTGATTGGACAAGCATAATCTTGGAACATAACATTTGAGCGTAGAACCTTGAAACTAAACAGCAGATAAATTTTTCGGAAACCTTAAAAATTGTATTTGGCTTCTTATAATTATCGAATACCCACGAGCATGAATTATACTGCAAATAACTCAAAATGCTTTTCATGTAACCACAAAATACACAATTATGCCCAGTATTTGAGGGATCCTATCTGTAACTGTTATTTGGTCTGTTAGTACACTCGAAACTCAAACTATAGAAGGAAATGAAAATATAACTTGATATATGGCTAGCACCACTGAGCGTGTAATTGCTAGTTTACAAGAAATGCACATGGAATTAAAATTGCTTCCACTTCTAAGACACCGCTAAAATTACAGAGACTGTCATGCTAATCATGTAGCACAATTCAATTACAGTACAAATTTATCTATACGTGACTTTTACCTAAATACCTTACTGAAGTATAGAACCTCTTCCTGGCACGTCATGCATTTTATTATATGTGTGTTCAGAAAATGATCGCGAGTGTTTTCACATTTTCAGAATAGGAAAATTATTCTTTTTGAGAGAAAGTTTATTAAAAATACGAACATTCATTCCTGAATCGCTTTTCAAGACAAACGATTTGTTGCAGTTGCACACCTCTGCAGATGCGCATATGTAATACAATGCGACGGTGACGTGACCGTCGTCGCATTTTTAAATTTCCTTCCAGCACGTGGAACTTATTGGTTTAAACATGCACGTGCTCCAGATGCTGGATAAACTTCATACCAAAAAAGATCTGCAAACGGGTAATGTGTTATCACACATAGTATTTTGAATATTACTAGTACAATGTATCTTTGTATTAAATTATCAATAACATGTTATCATGAACTAAGCAACTTAAATGGCACTATTTATCGCTAATCAAACTATGCAGCGAATGCTAGCACTGTAATGAGGTACATGTACTTTGGATATCAAGTTCATTTGCAATTGATCTATAACTTGATCGTCTCTTTCTCTTCATTCTCTTTCGGTTCATCATCATCGCTGAGTTGAGGCAGTTGCTTGCCGATGCACTGGGGCACCGGCAATACAAGGCGGTCTGTCGTCTTACCAGAATTCTGCTTCCTCCCCCGGAAGCAACTCAGAACCTGACC